TGGACGCAAGTTGGACAACAGCGACTAGTGTCAGGGGAGTATTTATATATATATTATATAACGATATTACTTGGAGAATTCTGGTATAAACCAGGAAACATACTTGACAAACGTTCTGTTTGTATTTGAGTTTCTTTTATTTAGAAAAGAAAATGAAAAAAAATCCTCTACAATCATAATCATCATTTAACCCTAATAATTCTAAATGAATAATTTGTACGTACTCTAATTTGTTATATCCCCTCCTCTTGAAAAGAATTAAATAAACCATATATATCAAAATGAAAGAAAAACTAATCATAATATTAAAATTTTTTACGATTTATACATAGGAATACATGGTAGATTGAATAATGAATCAGATACAGATATAACATCTACATAGAATTTAAATGAATTATTATTTAAATGCATTGGTTCAAATAATTTATTAATTAATTCTAAACCGCCTAATTCATTTGTCATGAAACTTAATGCTGCTATTATTTTCTCCACATTATTATATGGTACAGCGAGTAGAATAGACCAAGATATGCTAGGAGCATTTGTGGAATTGGTTAACTGATGTTGATGATTAACATCATTATTATCATTCATATCTGGATGACAATATAATAAATCATAATGTAATATTGGTAAACCAGAAAATTCACCAAATAAATCTTTAATTGTTATATCAATAGCATGTCGAATAGTAAAACATAATTCAATTGATGTAAGTGAAATAATTAGTTGTTGTTTATTTATGGTATTTAATACACCATCAAAATCAATAATACATAAACGTGCATAGATATATTGTAAATTATCTAAAGAGTATAAACATTTTTCTCGTTGAATTTGTCTTTTACTAGAACAATTTTTATTATTATCCTTTAATGAATTTAAATCTATTTCGTAATACATATCTGTAAAATAAAAAAATAAAGAAAAACAAAGAAGAAAAGTGAGGGAAATCGGATTTTTAAAAAGACAAACAACCGTCATGTTATCAATTTTGTTTGAATGTATAAAACAGAAACGTTTCGAGTAGTGTACATATAATTAATGAAACTGATGGAATTAGTCGTTCAATAACAATGTAGACACATTGGCATATAGATTTAGTGGCCCTGAATCGAACTTCACTTATATCGGACAAATGATCAATTATTGAATGATTGTTGTTGAAATATACATTCTGATTATTCTTGTATATAATTATTGACTTAAATTGCATTAGTGAATAATGGAATTAAATAAGTTAAATATGAGAATGGATTTTTGAATACGTATATTTTGTACAGACAATCAGAGGGGTGAAGAGGAATGATGTACAGTGAAGAAGACGTGTGAACCAACTCAATTTAATCAACCTTTATTCGGTATTTAGTCACACAAAAATAAGCTTTGGGTTTGTGATGAGTAGGATAAGATGTAAACACATACATTCATATAAAAACATTCAGGGTTGATAAGTGAATAATTAACAAGGTAAAAATGTGATTCAAGCAGAATGAACAAACTGATTTGTCCGGAAGCCAGAATAAGCTATGTGGGCTTGCCTAACACCACAAGGTATAAGGATAAATTCAATGCAAAATTATGATCATAGGCAAGTAACTTTTAACTTTTAGGGTGTCAACTTGATACATGTCATTTCGTGTTTCAGAACTTCTATGCTCTTATGACTGACTTCTTATAGTGGATATCAGAAGCGCATAAAAACATTAAAATATTAAATTACCTTCATTTTAATTTGAGTAACCTCTACTATATAAAAAATAAAAAGCATGAAAAATGTACTGTCTGAGTGACTCATTTTAGAACTTCGAGGTTTCCAGTTTGAATTCACTCAACCTTGCTAAATATAAAGCTCATCTTAAGATGGTGAAGATTTGCAACTTGAGTGGACGACTTTAGTGGAGTCTCCTCCTTAGGAAAAGTTTATGCTGTTCAGAATAATAATGAGTGTTTCACGATACGGTTACCGAACTCAAAGGATGAAAATCCACTGAAATTTTAACTAAAAAATAGACGATTGCTGAATGCTTTCAGATTTTGAGTGCTAATCCAACTGCTTAGATCAATTTCGAAATACTGTCGAAGAAAAAAGTGTTTATTAAAAAAAGGACTCTGCTTCATTCATATTACTAAATGATGTCCATGTTTAAATGAAAAATCTGTTAAGGATCCACATTCCAACCATCTGTATGAAAAACTAGTGAACGTATGCCATTTGAAATAACATGCGACTAACAAAGACGTTGTACATATTTACATTTCTATGTGCTTAAACCGTTATATTCTAAGAAATTAGAGGTGTAAATTTCCCTTTTACAGTTATTATAAATAGTTTTCACCTAGTTCCATGTCTGCAAGAAATTCATCGAGTAACGTTAGAAGCACAAAACCCAAAGAAAATTTATGCTTGTGTAGAGCGTTAGGGATCTGGTTTTTTTCTTAATAAAAAGCAGTATACGAACTATGATCAACTTTTTTTAAACAAATGAGACGTTCAAGAACATCAGTATAAAATCAATGTATGAGTGGAAGTAGTTCATACGAAGATTTGAGCCCATTTGCTCACTTAAACATTGTAAAAGAGAATACTGATCACTTAGACAACTATTATGATATTTTAACAATAAGATAATCGTTTCAATAAACATGAAAATTGTATAAGATATATGGATCTATCACCGGAAAAAAGTTTGCTCTATGACTGGCTATCTTAGGTCTAAGCGTTGATATGCTTATTTGAAACTCAAGACGAAGCTCAATATTTGAAAATCCAAAGAGTAATAAAGTAAACCAGTAAAGCCATAATAGCCATCGAACTATTAGTAGAGTATGATATTATTCATTGGAGCCTTTTTCCATACTTAGGACCTAAATATAGATAAATGAAAGCATTTACTTTTAAATATTCTAGTTTATGTTCTAAATAAACAAGGTTTGACGACCGTATTTTAGTCAAGCATTAACAAACACGATTGGATGTCAAAAACAATGAGTTCCCTCTGGAAATATCTCTCATTTTTGGGCATTATATAAGTAGAAGATGATATTTAAGCGCGAAATAACCGACTGATAAGTAAATTTCTGCAGAAAAATTGAAACTAATAAAACTCAGTAATGTTTGTATGTCGAAAGAGGAAATCTGATTAGACAAATTACAACGTTATCGTAGTTCTATATCATATTGTTCGTCCAACACTTTTGAAATATCTCTGAAGACAAATAAGAATAATTAATAATGACTCGATTGAACATTGAGGAACACTTTCAAGTGATTGTTTAATAATTTCCATATTAGAATTTAGAAATCCCAGGTTAGGTTTCAGACAATTACTATCTCTATATTGAAACATATCACTTAGTTTTATTATTGAAGTAAACTTATTATAAACTGGTTAATCTAGGACAGAACGGGTTAAAAAGTCATTACATTTTTTTTACTGTCAATTATGACGGTTTACTGTTTTTAAAATTATGTCATACCGTTCCTTCGTATACATGTGGTAGAATAATTGACTACCTAAATAGATATAAAGTAGTTAAAATCACAATCACAAATATTTAAGAAGCAATGATCATAATGAACATTTATTTATTGAAGCAAAGGAAGTAAGCATGGAAAAATGACAATACACTGATTATTCATTAAATAAGTGATCAAAATGACAGACAACATGAAAACGTTATGATAATGCAAATATGATTAAAATTCGAGATAAAACATTTAGGGAAATGAACAAACCGATAATCCGGTAGCCGTTAATAAAGATCAACAACTACGTTGCACGTTTAAATCAAACGAATCATAAGATATACATATTGCAATTGTTAGTTAATGTTGAAAAGTAAAAAGAAAGCTCAACCAGAAGTACCTTCAAATAATTGGCGTATAAAGTTTTTTCTTACTACTGGTCAAAAGCAAATTTAACGCCCATTCTATGATATCTCTGAAGGTGGGATGAATAGAGAGAAGTGAGAAATTCTGGCAGAGTTCAATGTAATCAATAAAATACCTCCACAGAACAACAAAGGACAAATCAAAACAAAAGAGGGGACAAAAATTACAAGAGAAAAAGGTTTGGTAAAATTGCACAGAAGAAAAAATAAAAACACAAATAACTAACAATGAGTGAAGTAAAACAGCAGTGAAAACGAACGAAGCAATATTAGTAGACTAAGACAATAAAGAATTTAAAATCAAGATGAGAATGACTGTCATAATTTAAAATATTTTAGTGGTGATTGTGATGAATAATGTAGTTGATAATTACTAACAGCTTGATAGCATTGAAACATACACCGTCATACACACAAATAAATGTATATGCAATTGATGTTCTTCGTTATGATTGCCTAGAAGATTAAAATGCTTTAGTTTTTATTACTTAACTTTCTCACATGAATACCGTAACTTCAATTACTGTGTACGTGTGTGTGTGTAGATGACAGTGAGATAATGACAAACAATTATACTATATTAGCTATCAGTAAACAGTAAATGGATTAATCAGGGTATAAAATAATTAAAAACCTAAATTTAAGCATAACAGTTGCATAAGTTGTAATGACAAGAGAATGCTACTATTTAAAATGTAATACTTGTAAAATCATTGTATGTGTATAAATATCAATATTATGATTAAAATAAGTAAACACAGCTACAATGAAACGTAAAATCATTATATAAGCAAAGCAATGAGTAAGATAAATATAAAAATTTGATGAGATGAAATGTCAAGAATAGACACAAGTACACATGAAAACATGCAGATACGAAAAGCATACATTAACAATAAATAATAATGGTGGGGACAACAACAATATTGAGAACAACAAGCACTAATTAGATGAGTAAGCGAGAAGAAAAACAACAACATTAAACGGATGCGATGAAAAATTACGCTAAACAAAAACCGTATGACTGTTACACATTCAATGATGTAATAATTTCCTAAACAGTTCAACAATATCCATCGTTTAAAACCTCCGTTCTGTCCATTTTAAATTTCAGCTACCGGTAGACCATAACGTTCAGCTAACGATATACACGATGTCATTGATTGTGGATCCTCAATATCTTCTAAACCAACTCCGTTAATAATTCGACGTGGTGGTAATGCTGGTGGTGGTGTACAAGTTGTGTTCGGTATAGGAACAGCTGGTTTCACCATTGTATTCATCATCATTGCCATGTTAACATTATTCATGAAATTGTTTTGTATCAAACCAATAGCTTCATCATATCCTGGTGGTGGATTGTCTTCATCAACTGGTACTTGAGTGTTAATATCATTATTAGTGGTAGTATTTGTAGCAGTAGTAGTATAATGCATGAATCTAATCTCCTAATGTTATTATTGACTATTGGAATTGGAGACTGTAAACTA